ATTTCACTTGTATTTTTGTGGCATTTATGTGGACGGCAAAGTAAGAATTTCATTGTACAGGGAAACACGTTTCCTAACTGTACATATGACAATAAACACTTTGACCTTGACCTTGTATGTCTAAATAAGAATGTTGTGTTTTCAGCTTGTTCCAGTTTGCACCCAAATGACCAAAAACTAATGTAGTTTAAAAGAGATACATTTTATTACCATTTATTATGTTGCAATTGAAATTCATGAAAATTTCAGAACAAAAAGTGTTTTCAGCCAACTGGAGCATAATGTAAATACCGTATTTTCCGCACTATAAGGCGCACCTAAGAGCCTTAAATTTTCTCAAAAATCGGCCGTGCGCCTGATAATCCGGTGCGCCTTATGTGTGCACTGAGTTCCAAAATCTGTAAAAATGTTGTTGTGCGACTTTGGTAAGCGCTCCGCTTGATTGACTGTCGGACCATTTCCCGCTGACACAGGGATGTAATACGTACACTACGTACGCTGGCAGCAATAAACCAGTCTACACCGGTCTAAGGCCCCTCGAAAATGGCAGCAGCGAAGAGACATGCTTACGAGGCACAATTTAAACTTCAGAAACTCATAAGCATGCCTAAGCATTTAACAGTCTAACTAGACATCCTATCTCCACTAAACATTTCTAATACATAAAGTATCTATCCAATATCTATCTGACTAAAAATACCTAACATATTGAACAGACTATTTCAGACTGCAGTAACTTGAGTTATGGGGCAATTTAATAACCTTAAAGTGGAACTGCCCTGAAGGTAAAATGACCTATTTGGGACCAACACATTTAATATGTTTTTTCTATTCTTCAGCTCTTTTTAGCCTAATTTCTGTTTTAGTGATATTTAACATGTAAGCACACCTCTATGGTGCTGGTGTTACTTTGGCATTTTATTATTGCTGAGTGAGTGACTGTAATGACTGTCTAAGTCCTGTCCAGATCTTCGTACTACAAAAGGTTCACATTCTGTCCTCTTTCGAAATAGGCGTAATTGTGCATTTGGGGGAAGGCGTCTTCTCTGCGAGTAGTCATTGTTTTACAATACAGTATGTTGCTTCTGTAAATCTGTATAACATTTAAGATGGAAAAGAAGCTTGAGCTTACAAGCAGTAGCTCCATGTATCTCCCTCAAATTTACAAAGTGGTTATGAGTTCAACAAAAGCAGCTAAGTGGCTGCCAAACGAACAGCAGAAACATTTTTGTTCTTTTTGCCTTATTGCAAACTGCTCATTTTGCTGCTTGTTTTGACTGCCCTCAAATTGTAAATGGTGTTTCATAAGACAACACTGTCAGAATCAGCTGTCTGGGTATGTGATGATATGATGAAAGGGGAATAGGGGAGTCTGGTGACGGGGGTAAGCTATGGGAAGGATAATTCACTGCTTAAGCATGCATCGTTTGATTCCTGCAAGAGAATGACTTTACTGGGTTATTACTGCTTCAGCTAGACAGCACCAAATTGTTCTTTTGTTCTGACAGTGAAGCTCTGAGGGGGTTTCTCACTGTGAATTGTATTGATTTTTCTTCTTTCCTGGTCGTGTCATCAGATTGTATGCAGCCGAAATCATGACTACTGTTTTCTCATCTGCTCATCCAGGTTTCTCTCCTATTAACTTTTTGTCCCATTAGGATGGAGTAAAACTTAACAAATACCAACTGGGCAGAACGACAGTGTTAGACTTTGGTTCTTCTTACCATTGCTAACTCTAAGAGACGAGACAGTCCAAGTAACTTCAAAACAGTGCTGATTTATTCAAAGGATCACAGGTAAAATTAACATTACACGCTCAGGTATCTTGCACCTCCAAACTGCACACAGGCAGATGTAAGATGAAAGACCCTGAACCCACCAGGCCTATACATTAGATCCCCTTGGTTGGGCTAGCCCCATACTACACAGAAACGTCAACCGAGACGTCTCTCTTGCCAGCTTTGCAGCTGGCCATAGCAGTAGTCAAAACATGAAGCAAATCAATGTGCATGTGTGTGTCTGTTGATTACCGTATTTTCCACACTATAAGGTGCACCTAAGAGCCTTAAATTTTCTCAAAAATTATCAGGCCATGCGCCTGATAATCCGGTGCGCCTTATGTGTGCACTGAGTTCCAAAATCTGTAAAAATGTTGTTGTGCGACTTTGGTAAGCGCTCTGCTTGATTGACTGTCGGACCATTTCCCGCTGACACAGGGATGTAATACGTACACTACGTACGCTGGCAACGATAAACCAGTCTAAACCGGTCTAAGGACCCCCGAAAATGGCACCAGTGAAGAGACATGCTTACGAGGCACAATTCAAACTACAGGCCATCAGTTACGCGGTTGTAAATGGGAATAGAGCAGCTGCGAAAGAATTCAAAATCAATGAATCTATGGTTCGGAAGTGGATTTGTGGGAGAAGATTGATTAAAAAATTATGTGAGTGTATTGTTAAATAGTAGAATAAAGTTCAACTAAACTCACTGTTTTGCTTCCGTTACGTTTTAGCATGCGCCTTATAATACGGTGCGCCTTATGTATGGGTTAAGTACAGAAATAGACCCCGTAATTGAGACTGCGCCTTATGGTGCAGAAAATACGGTAATCAAGAATTACTTGAATTATTCTTGGGATAAAGAACATTTTCTATTCTGTAATGTTGTAGGCTACTGTGTTTATGACTACTCTGTGCTACTACAAATTGATTAACCATGCAGTTGTCTTAGTGTAAGTCTTGTGTTTTAATAAATGCTGCAAAATGGAAATACTGTACACTACTGTTTCTTAATGACTAGACTTTGTCTGACAATATAAAATATGGTGCATGTTGGATTAATGTGGTCCACTTACAATTCTTATGCTGTGTGAAATATTCAAATTCCAGGTGCCTTCTGTCAACCTGGGAAATTTTCTCCACTATAACTTCACTCTATAGTACTGTGGATTTAACCAAACCATTAGTTTTTAGTGGTTGTCCCAAATTCAGATCAGTTTTAAACACTGATGACTTTTAGATACATTTTCATCCGTACCTCAGTTGAAATGGTTCTCTGAGGCACACATAGTGGTCTTAAAGCCAAGCTCACAATCAAACTAGGATGTAATCATGTCCTGGTCTGTAGCACTGTGCAGTCTCTGTTATTCTGTATCTGATGTAGAGACTGTTTAGTTGACAGTGAGGATTGCTTGGCAAAGATTCAGCAGGTGTTGCCTCTGGTATCCACTGGCAACCTCTAATCCCCTTTTTTTCTAAAAAACAGAAAAAAACTTTTCCAACCCTTTTATCACTTTGATTGGACTTTCTTAAACTGACTTTGTGACTCCTTATTTAACTGGGTTGTTGTGCAGCTGGAGTGTTCATTTTGCCAAATGTGATGACACCATAGTCAGAGCTGGGGGGGACAGGGGTCACGGGTGACCGTGGCTGGACTTGGGCCACCCCTGGTCAAAGTCTTTCCACTCCACTGACCACCCCCACAGCACAATCTTTTGTGTTACTCATTTGTCTTTGTGCAGAACCGTATCTCCGCCACCGCAGAAATGCTTTTTTAACAGCACACTCAGCTGGTAGCACTGCCCCTCCACTAACTCACTGCATTTAACTCACCCACAGCCCAAGTCTGAGGGGAGATCAGAAACATTTTATAGCAGAGTTCTCCTTGTGGGATAAAACCAGGGACTAATAATATAATTAGCAGAAATACTGTATGGTTTATTAACAACAGTTTAAACCATTTTACAAATGGATCTGTTTTAGTGGAGCACTGGTTTGAGTATGCAAGGCATGAAACAGCTACTGGCTTTTACTATGGGTGGGATACCTGCACTGAGCAAGATCTGACTTCCTGCTGCACACACTGCACAGTTAGTTGTCCATACAACTATAACATAGACTCAGTGTCTGTCTGTTTTTTTTTCTCTTAACAGCCGTCCCTGTGATCATTAACACAGATACGCTTTCTCCAAACAATAGCTGTGCTAATATAAGTTGCCAATTCACAATAATAGCCAATAGGGGTTTTGAAAATATATAGCTGCATCTGCACTGCTTAAAGTGCCTTAGATTTTGTACCTAAGATTTTGTGTTACTTATTTATCTACTTTATATTTCATTTGTATTTTGTGGCATTCATGTGGACGGCAAAGTAAAAATTTAATTGTACAGGGAAACACATTTCCTAACTGTGCATATGACAAACACTTTGAACTTTGAAAATATGTTTTTAATGTGAAAGAGCAGCAACAGGAAATGTTTAATTGGATTTAGCAACTAACACTCCAGCATTAACAGCTATACACTGTAAAAAGTGACAGGAGTTAACTAGAGGCCAGAAACTTTTCATTCTGTCTACTTTTGTTACATCTCAGACATGAACATTACTGCAACTAGGGGTCTGTTTGTGTTCTCGTGTGTTGCTATTGTTGGTTGTGAGTCACACCAATTTTTAAACTCCCCATGGCATGTTCATTTTGCTCATTTCCAGCCATTTATTGTTTAATCTCAGGTATCTCTAAATTAGTTTTGTACCACTCATAGCTCAAAATTGTCAGGGTTGGCGTGCATAGATGCCAAACAGAGGTTGTGGTGAACTCAATTATAAAACCAGACGAACCGAGGTAGAGAAAAGTTCTTTACTTGTTGTAACCAAAACAACTAACACAAAGTCCAGGATCACAATCAGGTCGATAAGACAGTCCAGGGTCGGCGCCGATAAACAGGTATAGCCAGGAGATCCAAACTCGAGAGGTCAAGGGGGACTAATCAGAAGGTTGGTACACACAGTATAGATACCGGCTTTCATCAAACTCGATTTGACAGTTCTAGGCGAAAGGTTATCCATTCAGGAGACACAAGTCTTACACTTAGTCACTCAGGCTCTCCACACTTTGAGATGAATCCAGGTACCCCCTGAAAAGAAAAAAAGTGATGCAGTTTTATTTTTATGTTTTACGAAAGCGTGTATGTTAACCAAGATCATTTCATTCATATCAGATGCCGCATATTGCAGCATTAACGGCACGCGCCCCGAAGAGCAGCTCAGTAAGTATTTTTGCTACGTTTACAACTCTTTGTGTATATATTAAATATATTTTTAATAAAA